ATCATTTGGAATGTTTTGAGTGTCTTATGAAGATACATTTCTTCCCTCTTGGACCTAATATTCCACATTTATGAGAAGGGTCATGAACATAGGCAGCACATCCCCATGGCTTTAGGAGACTCAAATTGGGTTTCCAATTTGTCATAACTCATATAATGTAGTAGTAACATATATAGAAGGTACTCGGTTGAGTATGTATATGACAGTCAATAAGGTATCACCCTAAAAGGTGATGAGCAAATTTGCCTGTGCCATTATAGACATCACTATTTCAAGTAGGGTTCTATTTCTTCTTTCTGCAACACGATTCTTTTTCAGAGTTTTTGGAATAGTTAATTGACGTTCTAATCCCATTTCATCACAAAATTTTTGAACTGATCAAATAGATATTCAAAACCTCGATCGGTTCACAGAACTTTTATCTTCTTATCTAATTGATTCTCAACTAAGTTTATAAACTTCTTAAAGCATTCTAAAGCTTCATATTTATGGGAGATCAAAAAGACATAATCGTATTGGGTGAAATCATTTATAAATGTGATGAAATAAACTGACTCATGCCTAACCCTCACATTCATTGGACCACATATGTTAGAATGAATTAATTGCAATGGAAATTTAGCTCTTATCACTTTTCCAAGTGGTTTTCTTGTTGTTTTTCCAACTAGGCAATGTTCGCAAGTAGACAAGTCTACTTTTGTTAAGTTTCTTGACAAGCTTTCTCTTGCTAGTATATTCATTCGTTGTTGGTCAATATGACCAAGTCTAGCATGTCATACATTCACATCATCATTATTAAAAGATGTAATGAAGGAAAAATAAGCATAACTATAATTATAGTCAATATCTAATACAATTAAACCATCGGAAATATAACCACAACCATAGTAATTTGTGCCCAAAAATAAATCGACTCGAGTACTTGGAAAATTTAAATTAAAATCTTATTTAATAAGTTCTAACATGGAAATAAAATTTCAACAAATATCAGGTGCATATAACATGTCATGTAGGTATAGGATTCGACCTCCACGTATGATCAATTTGCATGTGTCGATCCCCTTAACTTCCACTTTTGAATTGTTACCTATATATATCCACTTTGTTTCATCTGGTATTCGTCAAAACTCCATGAAGGCACTCTTGTCTTTCGCTATGTGGCTGTTGAATCTACAGTCCACAAAGGATGAGATTTAGTTAGAAAAATAGACCTAGAAACATTTATAGAACTTACTTGTGCAAACAAGTAATTTACCTTTTTGGGCTCACTACAATTGCGAGCAAAATATCCCTTATTGCCATAGTTATAGCATTTCACCTTTGCCATATTTTTCTTTTTGGCAGGATGTTGTCATTTTTCGTGTTTATAAAACTTTATTTTCTTTCCTTGCGCCTTACCATTATTGCCTTTTCTTTGGGATCCACCTTGGAATTTACACTTAAATCCCTTCCCACCATGTGAACTGGAATCAATCATATACACATTAGTATTTGCCTTACTAGCATTAAGGTGACCTTCTTCCAGTTTTAAATGTCGCTTGACATCTCCTAAATTTTTTATGCCCTCATTATGGGTAAGGTGTATCTTTATGTGTTCCCAATTTTGAGGCAATGATCTTCTTACAGCTTGAACCTGTTGTTCATCAATTAGGATATGACATGCATCTCTTAACTCGCTAATTATGTTTGACAAGTGCCTTAAGTGTACTCTCATAGTATGTTCAGACCTTTTTTTTTTTTATATGTGTCAAACTTGATTGTAAGTGACTAGAGTTTGGTAATGGACGTACCTCCAAACTTTGTAGCAAGGGCAGACCACATGTCATTTGCTAATTCATATTTTCGGTACTTTTTCATGAGATCATTGACCATTCTGCTCAACAAAGTGATGCAAGCAGTGGAATTCTTTTTCTTCCACATGTCATAAACCGCACGATCTCTTCTACGTTGAGTCGTGGCTCCTTCTTCTAACTCTTACATAGTTGTGGTAAGAGCTTCAAGAACCTCATATTCTTCCAAGACATATTGAATTTTCATGCTCCATATCTCATAATTTCCGTTGCTAAATTCTTCTCCTTTATTGAGTTCAACGACAATGTTCTTAGATGTAGATGCCATTTCTAAAAAAATATATATACACATAGGATAATGCACATTATTCAATTTTTAAAACATACATATATTTACTTAACATCAATTTATTATATCAACAATAATTTCATATTAGATTTAGAATCAATTGTTCACTTTTTGTCAACAGTCATCATATAAAATACTGATATTTAATTATCATTAATATAATTAATTATGTAAGGAACTCTTATAAAGTTACGAAAAAAACTTAAAAAAAAATGCTTAATGAACATATGATTCTCATTCAAATGATGATTTAAAATTATTTCTAAAAAATGTAAATAAAACCAATTTCATTGCATAAATAGAATTCAATATGTATTGACATAAAACAAACAAATTTCGAAAAAAAAAAAAAATCCTAATTGTAATGCCACATCCCACAAACTGAGAAAGATCTAATAAGCCTTATTTTAAGGTATTTAACTCTTTATCTAACTTGTAATCTATCCTAGGCAAGGGAACTCCTAATCTCTTGTGATGTCCTTTACGAGTTGAGACTCTAATAGATGCACCAGTTGTCTTCCTAGCACCCCAATCTATGTACTCCTTGAAGAATTTGTTAACTAAACGTCTATAATCTTTATTAATATCTTTAGGGTTTTGATCTTTCAACTTGTTTCAAACCAGATCAAGGAGACTAACGGGACTAGGGTAATTAAGAGTCTCTTTACGGACATAGTATTTCATTTCATCTCTCATTAATCCTCCTTGCCAGACAATATCCTACATCATTTCATTCATGTGAATGAAATGATCCACTATTTGCACCAACTCATCCTCTATGTCTTTTAATAATAAAGTGTGAGTTTGTAGAGTTCTAATCATGTTCAGTATCCTTTCCTTCTAAGCAGGTGTTTTAACAGCCCTCACATGTCTATAACATAACAATTTTTTTTCTATAACAAATACAGAAAAAAATTTATGTTCATTTATCAAATAAAGGTTAACTACATTTGATAAATAAATTTATTTACACATGTTTATGGCTTAAAAACTAAAAAATATACCTACAATTTCATACCAAGTATGCATTCTACTCTTTTAAAAAAGAGGAAAATCATATTGTTATAACCTATAGACTGTTGGGATTCATGCATTTTCGGACATAGAAATGGTGTAAAATGATGAACAAGATGATAGATCCAAGGTAGAACACAAACGTAACACATAAGCCAAAAATATTACATGAAAAGGATGGAATATTACCTACTCCTTGGCCATTCAACACTTGAATCTTCTTTCTTGGAGTCTTAGATCTTCAAATGAACTTGAAGAACCTCAAAATGTGATCCACACAAGCCAAGGAAGAGAGAGCCGAGAGAGTGAGAGAGAAAATGAGGGAGTGATTTTTGTTTCAATTAAATGAAAATGCTATAACAATTGGTTTATATACCATGGCCACAAAGTGTAATTTTAAATTGTCTTGGGAAGTCCTCAAACAATTTAAAATTAATCTTGGAAAAGAGCATTTATGTCAAGTCCTTGGTTGTATGGTTAATTGTAATCAGCCCAAATTTTAATCCCATTAAATATTCTAACTCTTTAGAATAAAACCAATGCACTTTTGTCCCCGTTATTGAATCCGATTCAATAATAATATTTAATAAATCCTTATTACCCTTGGTTAGTGCTAGCTATCCATGGATAATCATTTATCACCAATACATTAATTCGGATGCAATTGTTTACGTCCGAACATCATTAATCCGATTAATGATATGTATTATTCTCTCTCCTTGAGTTTGATTTTATGTGTGACCATTTTGGTTCATCGTGATCTAGCCATGGGCTTAATATCAGATTTCGATATGTTTCGTTATAATTCTTTATAATAAAAACTCCCACTGATTATGGTAGACGTCTAGTAATGTTCCATAACCCCTAAACAACAATGAAGTGTAAACTCCAATGAACATTTTTTTTATCGTATGTACCATGTTGTAAAATCCCTCTGTCATCTAATCCCGATTAAGAATGGTTCATGGTATATTAAAACCCTTAACTTAATATTTAATCGAATTGTCAATTGATACAATGAAACTCACCGACATGAAACTACATTTCATTTAACATTCATTATACTCTGGCCAGAGATTTCCCTTTTCCAATGTTTATTGAAATTCGTCTGGGAACTCGAGATTTGACTATTTTGAGTTAGCGGATCCCATCTTGACCATCACTTGTCCTCGCACATGAATAACATATGACCAAACCGACTTATTACACAAGATATGACTAGTCTCGTGCTTATATACCATATGAACCATATGCATCCTATGTTGATTCCAACCATGATGTCTCAGGTCTAAGGATCAGTGGTATACTAGCATGATTCTACGTGCATCATTGACCACGTCCATGTGATTCATCATAATCGATTATATTCGATAAACCATTTACTAACCGTTTATCCATGCTAATACTTTAGTGACATACCTCTTGAATTTTCTTTTTCGCTAACCAATAGAACAAATAAAAAAATTTCTGACACCCAGTGAACTTAAGATGGCTTTCCATTATTATCCCCCCATTTTCATTTTATTTAATCACACCTTTATTCGAAAAATAAGATAACATCAAGACTAGATTTAAGTGTAATTTGAGGCATACAATTACAATCAATAAGGAGTGTTTTCATATTTCTCCAGTTTTAAAGTATGTTTTACTCATATTTATAGGCCATTTACAGTCTTATATTGGTTAAATTATAGCATACTTCTTTATTGACCCGTAAATTTTAGTTATTCTGATTAACAAATACTGTTCGTTCAATTCCGGCCGTGTCAATCAAATTTTCTAATTCATAAAATTTTATTATAGAGAAACAGGAATCAGATTAAATTAACAATTATTGAAATAAAGAAAAAAATGGGTTATGGATCGATGTAGACAATTTCTAAAACTTCGGGAACTGAACCCTTGAAGGGCATCTGCTCCTTGGCAGCCTTGGACATTGGATAAAGTCAGAACCCGAAGTGTCCACGCATTGATAAATTTGGTAAAGCTGGCTGTTATGTGAGGAATCAACATTGCAATCTATGCCTGGAGTAAACCCAGTAGCCTCCTCTATGGCATCTTTAATCTTGTCTAAGTCGTAAAATCTATCGTCTGGCTTGATTCCTGTACTTTAGAAACGGGAATTAAAAGACAAATCATGCATGATGGTTAATTCATTGCATGAAGAATTAATGAAATGAATATATATATATGGTGGATAGCAGGTACCTGCATCCTTGAGAATTTGAAGGAGGTTAACTTTGTCTTTCAATTTGAGAGCAGCTTCGAAGTATTCACGTTGGTCGAGTTCAGACTCCGCGCATGTCCCATGTTTCACCCATTCGTGTGACCAGAACTTCAACCCATCGTTGCTTGGACACGATAGCGTTGGCCAACTCTTTTGCATTTTGCTCATCAGATCTGTAAGCTGTTCCATATTATATACAAAAAATAAACAAAAACAGTAAACCTAAATCATCCATGGAAAATTTGACAGCTCAAAGAGAGAGATCATCTTTTTCATTTATTAGTGCAATATATATGAACCTCTTTCACGCTTCTTGTGGACATATATATAGAGAGAGACTGTTAGGATTTAGAATATTTAAATTTAAATTTGTAACACCAATTAAGTGGCATCAATCTAATGAACACATGATACTTTAACATTGTTCTATTCTATATTGAAATCTCATATATAGCTAACCTTGTCAACCGGACATAATTAATTTTTTTTGAAAGAGAAGTGATACTAGGATGGTAACTTGAGTCATTTTAATCAAGAATCGCACCTGAGACTCATCGAAAAGGGCATCAGGATCGCAGTTTGATGGATATGAACCGTCCTTGTAATTAGGCCAGAGTCCATGAATACCAAAATCAGCTGCAGGCTTTCCACTCTTTGGATAGCAGCAATGATTCTTTGTATCACAATATGATCCTGGCCACTGCATCCAAAGATCAAAACAAATTAAGCATACATCATGATGAACACAAACTTTATAAATTGATTTTATCTCAAGTCTCAACTTATATTTCATCGTATTTGCAACCATTGAACAATTATGAATGCTCTCACTCACCTGTACAACAAAGTAGAAAAAATCAAATTCCTCTGAAACACAAAGAACTGAAATAGATTGCAATATTACGAAAAGCTTGATGAAGATTGAAAAGGAGCGTTTCATCTTTAATGTGGTGTAATTTCGTTCTCAAAAGTGATAAAGAAGAGAGGTTGGTAATTTGCTGGTTAGATACATGGATTTATATGCAAAATGAGCAGAATATCCGAGACAGTCTATGTCTTTTATTTTTTCTTTTTTCTTTTTTATCACATAGTTTGCGTACAAAACGGTCTCTTCACGATTGTTATGTCTTATGTGTTTGCTTGCCTTTTTGTATTTCCTAACCTTTTCTCCAACATTTATTATTTCATGTATGTGCCTCCTCATCTCTTTAATTATTAATTAAGTGAACTTAAGATTTGTTTATTCGATCAAAAGTTGAAATGAAGAGAGAGTGATCTAATTTCAGTAAATTATTACGCAGATTTAAAATTAACTATACATCAGGTCTCTCATGTATTTCTACGTATAATCCCGGACCAGGTTTAGTTTTTTTTGGTTATATATCCTCGTTAACATTTATATTTGCCTGTAAAAGTAGTTTAGTTTCAGTTTGATTCTCTCTTAAAACATGCATATTCAGTTCTCCTGCACGTTCCAGGAAAGACTATGAAGAAACCCTACAATTAATAGATAATTAAACTCCAGAACCAGAACAAGAGGCAGAGTTTATAGGATTGCTGACGTGAGAAGACAAAATTGAAAAGTTATTATCCACGTAGCCTGTATAAACTGATTATTAAATTATCCTCCCCAGTGCAATTAATGAGGTTTAAAAGTGGTTTAATTAGCAATTTATGTTAGTTGGTCTCAATATTGCGTGCAAGTCAACTGTGTTTAATGCAACGTGGCATCACCTGGACCTTTATGCCAATTGGCCTCATAAAGCACCTTTTTTTGGACGGTTTCAGTTTTTTAGATATTTATGTAACTTAATAGAGAACCCACGGCATCTACAATTACCTTTTGTAATGGATAATTAACGTCATTGACAAATGTTTCGTGCACACCAAGCACAAGGAGCCATCGATTCCCCGAAATTCTACTTGTTGAATCCTTTTTTATAATCCACTCGTTTAAAAGCATATTAAAACGAGTGACGTATAGAGTAGGTGATATATGTTGCTTGAATTTGATTTTAATTACTTTGATAAACAACAAACCCCACTATATTGTTGTCAGGTCTAGAGGTAGAATAAATGGGTTGGATTAAATGGGTCAATCCTAATACGGGTCGGATTGAATCTGTCCCGCATATACCTTGTCGGGCAGACCAAGTTTTAATATGTCAACCTCAGCGAGTTAATTTTTTTTCTTTTTGAAAAACCCTCTAACCCGCCAAGTTGGGAGTTTTCAACCCGCTAGGTTGACCTGCGAGTTAGAAGAAAAAAATTTAAAAAAAATAAATAATAATAATTTTTTTTTTTGCAAATGCCCTTTTTACCTTTGAAATATAGTTATTTTATAACAGTTAGAAGAGTCTTTTTCGTTATTTTTTTTTCCCATTTTTTCTATAAATAGGCCCTAAACTCTCATATTTTCTCACATCTCAAATTCTCTCATTCTCTCATTTTCTCTAATCTCTATTGAAATCTCTCAATTATTCTCTTTGTTGTTAGTTTGCTCTCATTTTAATTTTTATTAGTTTTTGCAATTTCAATTCATATTTCCAAATTTCAATTCTCCTTCTTTAATTTTTTAGTTCTTCTATATAATTTTTTTATTTTTTTTAACTACAATGGATAGATATTTCAATCCGATCGATTTCGATGATGAAGGAAACTATCCTAGTCCCCCTAAATTTACTAACATAAATGCAGTAGATTCAAATAGTCCCGCTTTCCCAATCTCAAAATCTGATACACCTTATAATATTTCCCCGATTCCTCCCCATGCTACTACAGCTCCCGGTGGCTCTAGAAGTCATTCTCATCCAACTTCATCTCAAGCAGAAGCGGGTTCATCAATTGTTGTCGAAACCGACGACAGGCACACATAAGACGTTTAGGTGCATTTTGATAAGTTTTACGAGACAAAAAATGAAGTTCAAGTGAAGAAAGAAAGATGCAAGTATTGTGGAAATATTTATAAAGCTGATTCAGGTAATGGTACTATTACTTTAAAAAGGCATGCTGATAAACATATTACTCAACATGAAAATAGAGAAACCAATCAAACTCAAATAACTAATATTGGTACTACTTGGCGTTATAATTATGATGTATATATGGAACAATTAGCTTTATATATTGCTGCAACTGATCAACCTATTAATATGGCTGAAGATAAATATTTTGAAAGATTTATTAAAAATTTCATTTTTTTCAGGATTTAAAAGTTATTCTAAAACTGCAACTAGAAATGATTTAATAAAATTGTTCGGGAAAATGAAATTAGAATTAAAAAATAAAATACATAGTTGTCATATTAGTGTGGCTCCAACCGCCAATATTTGGAGTGGTAGAGCTAAACAAGATTATATTTGTATGATTAGTCATTATTTTAATAACGAATGTAAATTAAATAAATCTTTATTGGGATTTAGATTAATGGATGTGAATCATAGTGGTTAACAAATTTATAATAAAATTGTTGAAGTTTTAGAAGATTATGATATTGTTAATAAAGTGATAAGTTTAACTTTAGATAATGCAAGTGCTAATAGTACAACTATAGATTTTTTTTAAAATTAATTATATTTTTTTATGACAATTTAAAGTTTTTTCACCAACGCTGTGTATTTCACATTATTAATTTAATTGTGAAAAGTGGTATGAAAAAAATTAAAAATAATATTGATAGAATTAGAGATTCTTTAGCTTGAATTACTAGTAGTAATAAAAGAAATGCTCAATTTTAAGATGCTTGTATAAAATCAAATATGTCTCCTAGAACTTTTGCATTATACATACCTGTTAGATGGAATAGTACTTATTTAATGTTTGATTCATGTTTACCTTATGCAAATTTAATAGTTATTTTATAGCAAATAATAGAGGTCCTCATTATTTGGTAGAAAATGATTGGCATATAGTTAAAAAATTTCATTATTTTCTTAAAAAATTTTACCAATCCACTTTACAACTTTTTGGTGTGTATTATCCTACTAGTACATAGGTAATACATACAATTATAAAAAAATCAGATTTATTTAGAAAAAAACATAAACAATGAAATTTTAGCGGAACCAATACAGGCAATGGAAAAAATATTGGAAACCCATCATTTTCTTTATTGTTTAGGTGTTATATTTGATCCTAGAATTAAAGTAGCAGATTTAGAAAATGGTTTAGACACATTAACTGAAAATTTACAAAACGAAGCATATGCCAATCAATTAGGAGAGGTAAGAGAGCGTCTTGCAGAGGTATATTTGCACTATGAAAACAGGTATGTGAACTAGCAAAGACGCGAAATACCCGGGGAAGTTGCATCAGAAGAAACAAATGAAGACTTCTACTCTTGGAGTGCATTTAATAGGGCGAAGAGGGCCCGAACCCGAAGCACAACCTCCTCTTCAGAAGCACCAACAACGAATGTACTGTCCTCCATGCAGTTATAGAGTAATGAGCTTCACCAATATTTGGAAACCCCTAAAGTGTTACTAGCAGATCCACAACAAAGAACCAACTTTGATGTCTTAGAATATTGGAAAACATAAAATATATTTTTCTGGTATTATCAAGACTTGCCTTGGATGTTTTCTCTGTTCCTGTCTCAACCATCTCATCCGAACAAACATTTAGTGCAAGTGAAAGAATTTTAAATGAAAGGAGAACTAAACTTTCACAAAAAATGATTGAAGTTCTCACATGTTTTCGAGATTAGGAACGGTCGCGTCATTAGGATCAATACGAGGTTGTCGACGGTACTTTAATATAATCATTTCAATTTTGTAATATAGATGATACAGATGAGTGAGGTCCTAGTCAACCCCCAAATTAGTTGTTTTGTAAATCGTAACTTGTAAATTAATTGTCAATTATTGCACTCTTTTTTCCTTACCAAGTTTTTGTCCCATTAGGTTTTTCTTGGTAAGGTTTTTAATGAGGCAATAATTGTTGTAATTTCTTATTTTATTTTTTGATAAATGAATAAATCTAATTTTTCTTATATTACAATTTTATTGTATTAAAATTGATTTAATATTTGAAATGTTAACAATAAAAAAAAATTAATTTAATTGAATTATTGATATTTAAAAAGTTAACTAAAAACAATTACACAAAAGAAAAAATTAAAAAACAAAAAAATAAAAAAAATTATGGGCTAACCCAACCCGACTCGCATCAAAACCCATCGGGTTAGGGTTGGCGGGTCGGGTTAGGCCAGCCTTTCTGGCCAAGAGGCAGGCCTAACTCGACCCGCCCTAACTGGGCCCGCCAATCCCTATAACCCGTTGCGGGCCAAGCTGGACGGGTTATTTTTCCACCTTTAGACTTAGGTCATTAAGCATGACCAATTTGTAAACTTCACGGTTTCAGAGTGTTGTGTTTAGGTAATTGAAGAAGTAAACTTGTGGCAAGTTATTTTAACACACTCAACATGCATAGCCAATTTAATAAATCCTGTTATTACCTTGGAAAGCCATACTGATTTATCTGTTACTTGGTACAAAATAGTTAAAAAAAAAAAAAAAAAAAAACAGATGGTAGAATATAACAAGAATGCAACAAAGTGTTTGTAGATCAATCTTCTATTAAATTTATTAAAAAAGATATAATACTCCCACTAGAAGGAAGGGAATGTAATCTGGGAGCCACATTTTCCCTTTGGAAACACTGGACATTCAGCGAAATTGGCGGCAGATGTGTCTACACACAAGTAAATCTGGTAAAGCTGGCTGTTTCCCGATTCATCAGCATTGCATTCAACCCATGGGGTGTACCCACTTCCTTTTGTTACAGCACCTTTAATGCTTTCCAAGCTATAAGACTCTCCATTTGGTTGTATTCCTAGACCATCGCATATATAACTAGAAATATAAAATCTCTAAATATAATATAATTAATGATATTTTGGTATTGCATTAAAGGCAGAGATGATTACCTGCAGTTTTTAGAGTTTGGAGGAGATTGACTTGGTTTTTTAAGTTGAGAGCAGCTTGGAAGTAACCATGTTGGTTAAGCACAGACTCTGAGCAGGTTCCATGTTTATTCCATTCATGTGACCAAAAGCTTAACCCATTGCTGCTTGGGCAAGCCAGTGATGGCCAGCTCTTTTCCATACTGCCTGTCAGATCTGAAATCTGTACAATGATAAATAGACGACTTACAGAAAAACGAACGTTTGGGTTTGTTTCATATATAATTCAAATATAAGTTTTCATATTTAAAAAAAAAGAAAAAAAAGAAAAGGGACTTAAAACGTTTTAAAAACAAATATTTTTCAATATTTAAAACTTTGAACTCTAAATATATATCTAAAATATTAAATTAAACACCTTCAGACACGAAAAATATTAGAGATTTAAATTAATTATATGGTTGTTCAGATAAAAAACCTAACGGGTCTCAAAAGAGTTGAAAAAAAAAAAAAAAAAAAACATTTTCTACTAAACTCCTTAAAAGCCTAATTAAATCCCATTTATTGAACATTAATTGTTATTACTTTCCTTATTTCACAAAGGGACAATATGAAATGGTGATTGTATTCCTTTACATAATTTTGTCTTTGGCTCATAAGTGTATTCATAATGCTTAAAAAGGGGCGAGATATCAGCACTCTGCAACTCTCTTGCCTAACTAATCTGGTGACAATACTCTGTTTCTCACCTCCCATTAAAAAAAGAAAAAAAAACATCGGTCACGGTTTTATTCAAAGTTTGATGATATGTTTCGTTTGGCACATTTAAGAAGTTACCGAACAAGCAAATATAATTTTGTTTAATCAGTTTTATAAATGGCTGATTATGGCAGATAAAGTATTATTTTACAAGAACCATGAGGGATGCATTTGAACCAGTCCAGCATATATATACAATTATTTTGGAAAGAAAGCACCTAATGCATGAAAAAAAATGAAGTACCTTAGATTTATCGAAGGGATCATTGGGATCACAGTTTGAAGGATAGCTGCCATCGTTATTATTAGGCCAGAGTCCATGAATACTGAAGTCCGGTGCAGGCTTTCCCGACGTTGGATAACAGCAACTCTGTGATGTGTCACAATACGACCCTGGCCACTGTACAATAACGCAATTTTAAACTCAACTCGAATCAAACACAAAGCAAACGAAAGATTAATCAGATTACCACTTACTTGTTGAACAAAGTAGAAGAAATCGAAGCTTTGAGAAACACAAAGAACTGACAGAAGGTGAATGATTAGAAATTTGATGGAAACAGAGTAGAATTTGGACTTCATCTCTCCTTTCCGTTACTCTCACTTAAGTTGGTGTGAATTGATTTGGATATGTATATTTATAGATTAAAATGGAAGGCTGTGGACAAAGAATCCGGAGAAGTATATGCTTTTTATTATTAATTACAATTATGGGTTAAAGTGTGTAAGGAATCCCCATAATTCTCAAATTTCGGCTCATCTTTCTGTTATCTTGTCTGTCTAATGTCACTTTCATTGTTTTGCTAGATTTACTTAATTTATGGTAATTAAAACAAGGAAAATTCGGGTGGAGAAATAGCAAAATGGGCTAACTCAACCCTTGTTTGGAACGATAAGAATGGCATTACAGCTATGATTATCTCTAATTTTCAGATTTTATGTGGCAAGTTATAGAATTAATTAACCATTTCAGATAACTGATAATGCAGTTGATGTTGATGGGCAGCAGAGCGTGCAAGTCAAACAGTCAGGTTGAGAGATCAGAGATTGACTCAATAGCACAAACACCTTAATTGTAGCCAAAATTTTCTTTCACAATTTCACGTCACATACTACTATTGCTTGAATGCTTTCACACAAACTATAAGAGATTTTGTCATCCACAGAGTCCTCCATTCACACTCAATCCATATGCCGTTTTGTGTTCGTTCCAAGTGTCCAATGATTACAAATTTTTATGTGTATATGCTAATATGGTATTTGTTGGGCTGTCAACCGCACGTAGGCTTGGACAGACATTGGCTTTAAGCCTAAAGCCCAATGCAATGCAAAACCCACCATAAGATGATCCACCACCCATAGTCCTTATTGATACTAATCTCTCTCCAAATAACAATAATCTAATAGTAATACTTCCAGCATTATCCCAATCCATCTACTTTCATACCCTATACCTTGTAATAACCTTTCTGCCATGTGCGCTTGTAACTGACTCTATCCAAAAAGTTTCAAGGCAATTAATGATTAAGACCAGTTTTTAGTTAGAGAGCAGACAGGTATGATAAATTTCTAATGCACTTTGGGGAAACATGGCCAAAGAAAAACATGAATCGAAACTAGGCATACAACAAGTGACCTGGATCTAACCATTACTATGTCTAATACAGTACAGAAACTAGGTTGACTAGTTCAACTTGTTAAACACATTCATCTTACCTCGTCCAAATGTTCATATGGTTCAATATCAAAAGCACCTAATAAACCTACTGCTGAAGTACCACATAATCTGGAAAAGAAATAAATGATTTAACTAAATTTAAACAAACAGAACATGTTAGGGATCATCATTTGAGAACATAAACTCAGAAGTAAAAACAGTCTTTTGCTGTAAACCTTGCAATTACATACACATTTCAAAGATGGTTCCTGTAAGTTGAAACTCGAAGAATCATTACAGTTACAATAAAAACTTCAGATACATATTACATACATATTACATATGAATTTGACAATTTAACTTCCATCAAGCTATTGAATAAAACTGTAAGTATTTGGTTTTTGATTCAATTTAGTCATTCATAGATCATTGAGGATTTCAGATACTATATGGGCGTATGGAAACTGAAACATAAATATCTAAAAGCACAGTAAAATGTGAAACTTGAATACCTTAAAAGTTTTATTTGCCACTTAATAAAAGTTGATGATGTGCCAGCAGGAAACAGATTTGCTATGATGAGTGTCAAAATTTTCATACCCAAAAATTTTTGAATAAATGCCATGCTACATCAACCTCAAAAAATACAAAGAAAATACACCACACTGAAGCCTAAGCAGCCACAGCAGCAGCAGAACCTCCACTAGATTTATTCACGAGGAAGAGATTTAAAACATCAGCGTGGTTGCGGATGTAACCTGGGCACCTAGACAATAAATCTTGTGCTTCGCTATGCCTTCTGGCCTGGAAAAAGGCTTCAAACAAGCGGAGAACCACAGACGTAGAAGGAAACCTCTTTGAGGTCATAGTTTTTAGGAAAGCAATAGCATCATCACCAGTTCCAGACTTCGACACATAATCAATAAATGGATCAACAAAAGGTGGGAAACCATGACTCTTCATTAAACCCACGAGACTTAAAGCATCTTCAAACCTGCGCTGAACCAATAACTTCTTTGTCAATTCTTTGTATGTTGTATGTGAAGGCTGTAAATGATTTTCTCTGACATAGTCATGCACAAGCTTGCAAGCATCTGTTGCTCTGTTCTTTCTGCAATAAGCATTTACCAACAATTCAAAGGCATGGCCAGCGCAAGAGGCACCCTCTTTTCCAACCATCTTTTGGAAACATTCGGATGCCCTTTCAAGATCCCCAGCTACACAATGCCCTTCAATCAAAGACACCCACGTCTTGTGGCCCAAATCACTCCCTGAAGTTTCTACATGATCCATAAACTCGCCCGCTTCATCCTTTTTACCACCACTACTAAGCCTAAACACAATTTTGCTCTTCATATTACCACTAGCTACAAACCCACCTTTCTCCATCACTTGGAAGATCTTTTTACACTCTCCCAACCTACCAACACTAGTCAAAGCCTTTAAAACTGCATTAAGCATTGAGTCCGTCAATATATTCCCGTTTTCTGTAAAAACACTTACAACCTTTGAGAAAAGACCCATATCCAGCTGCTTAGCAACCACTATTTTCCTCAATAAAAACGTGCAACACTGCACTGAAGGCTTATTCTTACCAGCCATTGCAAACTCATACAAGTCCACGGCATCCTTAACCATTTTCCTCTTAGAGAACCTCCCTAAAACCTTAACATATGTCTCCTCCTCCATCTGATACCCTCTACTCCTCATCTCATCAACAACCTTCCAGAACCGATCAATGCAATCCTCCCTCCCCAAAACTCTTGCCATGGCATTATAACTCTTCCCATCGTGCTTCACCAAACCACTCTCCTCAGCCCACCTGAAAAATATCAATGCTTTCATCGGGTCATCACCAAGATTTTCCACTGCAAATTTAACCAAATCACTAGAAAATGTAACATTCAGTTCTCGTAACCGCTTCTCAACATCATCACCCCAGACCTCACTTCTGACAATCTTGCACACCCTAGAGCTAATCTTCTCTATTGAATTATCAATCGACCCAGTAGCAAAAACCCCTTTTAACTTCTCTAAATCACTATCTAAACCTTCTTTCTCGAACTTTTCAGTCATTTTATTACGCACATGGCCAGATACACCATAACCCTTTTTCTTCATAGCATCAACCAGAGCCCAAAACTCCTCAATAAACCCATTAGCACCCAGAATTTTTAACATCAAATTATATGATTTCGAGCTCAATCTCGCGCTCTCTCTCTCCGAAACCCAATAAAAAAACCTCCGAGCCACATCTGGGCTCGATTCGAGATTACTCAACACTTTCAGCACCATTTCATGAGTAAAGAGAACACCACTCGATTCCAACTCTTTGTTAATATCATTAACATCACTAAACTTATTGAAAATATCACTAACAACCATGAAGTCTGAGTCTTTCAGCTCCATTGCTGGCTCAGATGAGAAGCTACAACTCATGGGATTCTTATAAACTATTGAACTTTTAGATTTTACGGGGTTTTTAAAGTGAAAATAGAAACTGGGTCTTTGTGAACCGGTGTCGCTGAGATAGTGCGTGCTTGTATGAATGTTTGAAGAAAGAGTACGAAGTGATTCATGGAGAGAGTTACATAGACTGGAGTGTACCTGGGAAGAAGGCACTGTGGGAAATTGGAGAGGCGAACGAGGGTACTTTCGGAATAGGAGATAACGCCATTGATGTCTCATTTTCGGTAAAATTTTTGTTTGTGGTTTGTGTGAGAGATTTGCAGATTCAGACGATGAAAGAACGTGAGTTTTAGGGTTTTGGAGAGGTGTACTAAAAAGTTTAATGGACCGGATCAACCCGACCCGGATCCAACTATTTTTTGGGTCCAGGATTTAGTGTGAATTCGACTATATTTTGAATAATGCCACCAGCGTAATACTACACCAATAACCCTCGTAAACTTTCTCTAACAATTTTAACGTAATAATTTATAATTAATCAGCTCACAATTAATTAGTAAGACCTATGCAGGACTCGTATAGGATCTATTATAAACTGACCAATTGTGAGCTGTCACATCAGGATTGTAAAAGAAAGTTTGTAAGAGAGGATTGTTGGTGTAGTATTATTTATACCATTAAGTTGAAAATTTATTTAAGTTCAGGAAATAGTGTAAGTTCATAACATAAAATCTCTATTTTCATGTATTAATTATTATTATTATTATAAAATCAATAATATTTTGCTTATAACATAGTTATACAATTTGATAAAAATTACATAAAATTTATGTAAATTGACTACTTTATCTTTTGATTTTTGTCTAGTCGTATGACTTGGTTGTAAATATAATATTATTCTTATAAAATATATCATATTAAATAATTTATATTTTGTTAGTTAAGTCAGAATAATTTATTTATATTTTGTTTTTTTTGTTTTTATCAAATAATTAGATAAAATCAAAATGTCAAAAAACTTGGTTTTTATCTTAATATTAGAGCATTTGAATTAATAACATTTTTATTTGTCAATTATATCCCTATCAAATTTATATAATTCTATTTTATCAAAATCTTTACCTTATATATTTTTGTCTTACTTATTTATCATAGTCGCGAAAAAAATCAATCATCAAATGCAATTGACTCATTTGGAATAATTGATCAAATGTTCGTACAAAAATTGCCAGACCAAATTGAAAATTAATTCTTTCGAAGATCTAATTAATTTAGTTTTTTTTTGTTTTTTTGTTATATATATATATTGATGCTTGATTTTGATACTAACAAATTCGCACATGTAAAATACTAAAAAATTACACGTGAACCGATTATAATAAATAGATAAAGTACTGTGATAGCAGTTGCATACAAGTACGTAAAAATAAAGTTGATTAAAGAGTTTTTATAATGATTCAGGTGCTTAAAAGCGATCCTTACATTTGGTTGTTTATATAAGGATTCTTTTTTTATTGTTACACAAGTTTACAATGATCGCAATCTGCGTTTGTGATTACAAGTGTTTGTATTTTAAGAAAATGTCAAGTCGGTATCTTTTTAATTGCGTGTTTGTTATTTGTTTTGTGTAATTTGTGTGTGTCTAACCTCTTTTTTTTTAAGGGGAGAGTTATCTATTTATACCCATTTTGTTCAAGATAATGAGTCGTTTTTACAAGTAGTCTGATGGCGTGAAGATTCTTCCTACCTTCTCGGAGAACTCCCGAGTATATCTTTAAATTAAATGATGTTTGGATAGGTGTACGAACCAAATTCACTTATGCCTATTCTTGAGGCGATTTGAGTTTAGATTTTGATAGCTAATATTCTTATTATTGCCTTCGGTTGCGTGTCGAATTCTGGTTGGTGGAAGTATCTGTTAAATTCTAATCGGTGAAAATGACATCAACATATATCAGCCCTTATATAGATAGTTATAATCTTGATTATTCTTACAATTATACTTGATAATCATTTCGTATTTAAAAAAAAAAAATTACTTTATGTGATTAATGTTTTAAATTCATATTTATTAAATTAATTTAAGATTTATACATAAATTCATAATAATAATAACAAAATTAAAACTCATGTAAAAGTTATATACAGGGAAAGTAAAAATGAAATTGTGAGGGAATTTGCATGTGTAGAGCGTCAGAGGAGTACGCAAAGGAGAAATGGTCAGCAGTGGACTTTGTTCACTCTTTGAACCTATAGATTGTTCCTATGACCAAAGACCGGTCTTATACGAAGAAAATCAACTTTTCTTTAATTTCTTCAGTCAAACTTTCCCTCACTTTTCTTCATTTAAACAGAAAGCAACTCTTATCCCCTTAAATAAATCACAAACCCATCTCCATTCTTCCTCACCTCAATTTAACCCACAACTCATGTTCCGCAACAATTCATACATTTAGCTTCTTTATTCACTGCTACCTTCTTTCTTCTTCAAGTTAACAGCAACTTTTCGCCATTAACGGTTTCTTTTATAAACTTCCCAGCTAAAGCTATAGTATGATCATATAGCTTCTTCAATATTTTATACCTTTTGTGTCTAGAGATACTGTTTTGTTGTCCATTCTTCGAGCCATTTAATAGATGGAGAATATGGGTGACTGGGAGCAAAACAACCACCTGATAAATGAGTTAACACAAGGGAGGGAGTTGGCAAGGCAACTTCAATTTAATCTAAATGTGCCATATTCCTCCCATGAAACTCGTGAGATATTGGTACAAAAGATTGTATCGTCATACGAGAAAGCGCTTTCTATTCTCAACTTCAGCAGCAGTACATCAGTGGGCGAGCCACAGCCTGCAGGACTCGGAATCGAGTCCCCGCCGCTAAGTGGAAGCCCCCGGAGTGAGGACTCGGATCGTGATTTGACGGAGCAGGATGGCTCAAAAAAGAGGTACTATATAGTAAATTAAACTATTCATAATCCACTTCTTATAACTGTTCATACTTTAAGTTTCTTGTACGGTGGTTCTGAGCTTTTTTGTCTTTTGAATTTGTGTGTTGCAGAAAGACGTTTCCAAGGTGGACAAAACGGGTGCGTGTTAGTCCAGGAGCAGGATTGGAAGGGCCTCTTGATGATGGCTTTAGCTGGAGAAAATATGGGCAGAAAGATATTCTTGGAGCCAAACATCCACGGTATATATATAATTAAGAAATGTTTTCATCTATTTTCTTTGCCAGCATGAAGTGCTCTTAACATTACTCAAAACGAATATAAATCAAAAAATACGTGCATACGCAAGCACATAAATACTATAAAGAGTTATGTGTCTCTGAGCAGGAAGCAAAGAAGATAATCTTAAACTCACTCGTTATGGAATCTTACTAAGTTGAAGTTGTGGCCCTTGATTCCATGTTTTGCACCAATATGCATGGCCATATTAATTTTCATTACTACCCAAGAATGTGAGAACCCAAAGCGCAGCAAATTATAAGTCATCTTCATTAATTGGACGGTGCAAGTTCATAGAAATTGATGGCGAAAAATTCGGCCATCATGTGAATTACCCTATTTAATTCCCTCATTATCTATCAAAAATCGTTGGTCAATTTTATGCCACAAAGATGTTTCTCAATGTTTGGTTGAAATTTAATTTCTTTTTTTTTTTTTTTTTTTTTTTTTCTCACAGGGGCTACTACAGATGCACTCATCGAAATGTCCAAGGCTGCTTGGCCACAAAACAAGTGCAAAGATCCGACAAAGATCCCACAATCTTTGAGATAACCTATCGTGGAAGGCACACTTGTGCACAAGCCTCTAAAATGGTTGCTTCTTCCTCAGCGCCACTTGAAAATCAAGAACCAATCATCAATAGCAATATTGAACCACAACAACACAATTACCAACCACTGCAAATTACTCATCCACAACAACAACAACAAGAGGCACTCTTGAATCTGAGAGAAGGCCTTACAATTGTCACAGAAGATTTAGACGTTCACCAGCAGTCACTTGCTTCGTTTCATTTTCCACCTTCTATATCAAATACAAACACTGAAAGTCATGTGATCTCGTCTTCCATGGTTAATAACAATTTCACAGGAAACTTTTCACATTCGTTTATATCTCCAGCGACGTCTGGGACTAATTATTTCTCGGCTTCTTCAAGTGGGATGAATAGCTTTCAAGGGAATCTTAACTTTCGAAGTTCTGATCAGTCAGAACTCAATGAAATTGTCTCAGCTGCTACTTCTTCAGCAACCAATTCTCCAACTGTTGGCAGCCTGGATTTCCCATTTGGTAACGCTGAATTCGATCCAAACTTCACGTTTGACAGTTCACTTTTTTCCTCATTCCAACGCTTCGGAAAATGAAGATAATTTCGCTTAGTTACATTGAGTTAGTAATTGATTAATGATAATTTCTGTAGCAAGTTTGTCATGTCTTACTTAAATTCGAAATTATTTGTTTGCCCCCTAAAAGAGCAGTTCCTTAGTCTTGATTCTGCGATGTATAATTGTATTATCAATTGTTGCTCATTATCATTTATATGGTAATGAATCTCAATATTCAAGATCATCACGCCGCAATTAGATAGAAATATGAAGGGAACGATTTTTCTTTTTTTATCAACTTCAATTCTATATATATTATATGACAATGACATAATACAATCTAGACTTCTATGTAGGGATGGGCGTTTAACCTAACTGCCCCGCCCCGAATGGGGTGGGGATTCCCTGAAAGAGTCAGGGGTGGGTGCTGGTGTGGGTCCCAAAAAAAGCCCATAACTGGGTGCCCGCACCCGATTCTTAAAAACATAATGTACTAATACTATAGTTCTAATTAAGTCTTTCGATGTAAAAGTGTGTTTGTTTGAAAATTTTCATAGAACTCTAATCATCTGATAAAATTAGTTTATATTTTTTGTAACTACTACTATGGTCAAATTATTTACCTTGTCCAAAAAATATGTGAATAATTGGAAAGTTGCCTTCCCAACCTAATCCATATTTAATTTGTATAATCATGTTATTGCAACAACTTAAATTGATTCTCTTAATTCAAAAATGTGAATATATATTTTCTGATTCTTTTAACTTCAAAATTCGTTAAAAACTATGTACTTAATTAAAGATGGTATTTTAAAAAATTATTGCATATAATAATTTGTTTAATTTAAATAATGAGCGTGACATTTTGATTTTACTTTTTAATATAGTACATCATTATTAACTATATTGAGATATAAAATTGAATCAATTGATATCTCAACTTTAATTGAAAAGTTAAACTATTCTTTAGTAATGTCACATTTTCAATTTTTTTTTTTTTTTAATGGGATTATTCCCCACAGGTAATTCTGCCCGATAAAACCTTGTTAAGCCGAGCGGGGTGGGGGTCTCTCCTCCCCCACGGGGTGGGTGTAGGGATCCCCCGTCAAACCTGCCCTTGGAGGCGGGTTCGGGTGCAGGGGATGAGGTCCCCGACCTCGATCCGCCCCGTGCCCATCCCTAATATAGAGATATTGGTTTGAATAGGGATAGGGATATAAGAAAGGTACCCCCAATAACAATTGTTCTTCCCCTAATATTGCATGGAATAGAAATTGAAAATAATCCAATTTTTTTTCAAGAATTTTTCTGTTAAGGTTGGTAAGCCACCTCTCTATTGTTGGTATCAAGGCCTGAAAGGCAAATGTTACAGGAAGAAAGTGAAACCATCTGAGTGGAAAAACTAAAATGGGCTAATTGATACCCATTGGGCTGAATCTAAAACTAATAATTCGGCTTACTAAATACAGTACAAAGTTTTGGGAGGCGGATAATAATTCAGCAATAGGCCTCCCTCTTCGGCTATTTCTAGAGCCACCAACGAGTTATTGACTACAATGTTCATTAAAGCATCTGAAAATTGAGAATGAATTGTCTTGTACAATTTGTAGTGGGTGGTCGGACCATCTCAAGAATATTTGTGATCCTAGATAAGAGTTACTTTGAAGACCTTCTAATAATATAAACATATATTAAAAAAATTATTTCAAATTTATTTTTCTTACCTTTTGAAATATAAAGTCACTAAGAGAGGTGGACGACGACCAACAGGCTAACGGGGTCAGGTTGTGGGGGGTTTTAGAGAGTAGATGCTGAAGAAGTGATGGTCCGTGAAATAGGTGATTTCCAATGCTAGGATTGACCGGAAAAGGCTTAAGAAGTCGCGGTCCAAAAGGTATCGGTTGCCAGCAATTGGCGGAGTAAACAGATGAGGTATGATAGGGGTTTTGGTGAGAGGGTTGAGGGGTGGAAGATGGTAGTGTTGGGGAAGGCCAACAATGCAGGTACGTGTCGAAAAGGTCGGAAATGGTTGTTGCGCATGGTGGAGTTAGGTTGCGAGATTCGTAAAAAATTGGTCAAATCAAGGGCTATCAAAACTGGGAAAACACTTGGAAAATGATAAAGTAATGATTCTGTTCGATTTTGGTGAGAAAATTGACCAGAATCAACTCCAAACGGTCAGTGGCGAAAGAGGGGTGAAGATGATTTATGTGAATGTTGAATTTTGAGATTGAATTTGGGTGAGTAATTTGAGATATATAAATGACCATTTTAACCTTTCATTAATTGTTAAAAGAAATCCAATGTGTTAATTTAGGGGTGTAAATTGGAATATATGAAACTAGATGTATAAACTTGCTATTTCATCAAACTTTGGGTAGGAATATATATAAAAAGTTTATAATAAATTTGAGTATTTTCTGTTTTTTTTTTTTGGGCCCATTGGAATTATCTAGATAAGAAATTATACACTATTAACATTTTTGTAATATATTTAAAATAAAATTTACAAAAAAAAATTGGACGCTTTTTTACCTTGTTTTTTGGGGCCCTAGGCAAGTGCCTAGCCTGCCTACCCTTGAGCCGGCTCTGTGGGTGGTCCAAGGCATTCATACAAATTTCAGCTAGCTGCTGTAAAATCTCAGTCTAAGCTTATGGGAGGGACCATTCTCACAATTTGATGTTTTCAACTTCGGGCGTAACTGGACAACTATATCTAAAATCCTGAATATTAAATTGTCTTTTCTTTTCTAAAATTTGTGTGTTTCCGATTTGTTACCTTGTTAATGACTTTATAAGTTACAATAAATTAATAAAAATTTAGCCAAAAGATCGATACTGATGGGCAATCAGAAAGATGATTGTGGCAACTACTTTATATAAAGGGTAACATTAAGAGCTTTAATTTTGTTGTTAATGAATTTAACCAAAATG